GGGGGGGGGGGGGAATAAAAAAAAAGGGACAATGACTGAAAAAGTATAAACTCTAGTTTGTTCATGTTATATGGTATCATAATTACTGTAACAACAGGTGTAGCTCCTTGGCTGCCTGTGCGAGTTAGTGAAGCTCAGCTGATCTGAACAAAGCCATGCTAATTCATCCCAACTGAGGAACTGTCTCCCCACCCTAATTCCACTTGTCACTATGTGAGGATTCTGGTTTCAGCTATTCTGTATTACATTTCCATGTTTATTTTTGGCTGCTATAGCACCTGGTAACTTAATGCAACTTACAGTTTTGAGGCTTATTTTATATTACATGAGAAAGCTGCAGGATTAGGTCTTCTCTTAATTAAGTGAACAGTTCCCTCCAAATCTCAGTGGTGTTTTTCTGCACCTACACTGCTCTTACCTTGACTTTTTAACCTGCCCCACCTTACATTTGCTTATTTTTCCCTCCAAGAACAAAACAGGGATAGAGTTGAGTAACACGGTTTAGAAAGTCACAATAGCACACATACTAAAGCAGCTCTCCATGGGAAATACTGCCACCTTTCGGTTGGCTTACCTAATTGGAATATTAAAGGAAATGATTTATGAGGGGAAAAAACAGAACGATTTGAATGACTTGGCTAAGTAATGGGTGCAAATACTAAGGTGGCAGAAAAACTGTTCAGTGGGGGTCCCAAAGGGTACAACAGCAGACTGATCCAAGGAATAAATTGAACAAAGAGAACAAACACATCCCAACAGTAAGATTTATTTGGTTTTGTAATGTCTTGTGCCAAGGGAAAGAACCTCTACCATAGAAATACTAAAGAACTAATTGGACAGTGCACAAAAGAAGGAGCTGTGAAAGTGAGGATTTCCAACTCAAACAATATGATTTATGCAATTATTTGCCATTAATGCTGACCATTTGAAAGGTCTCCCTCCCTCTCAATTAGTCAGAAATACAAAACGTGAAGATGTGAAAGAACTGAAGTAGAATTATTTATTCATTTCTGGATCACAAACAAAGTGATAAGAGGCAACATACGTCAGTAACTGTAAGTGACCTACTCTTCCTTGAACAACTTTTACTGCTAATATTTAGGGCAAAAGGAAATTACTTACGTTTGCCATATTCCTAATGTGACTGAGGCCAACCACAACAGCCCAACAATAAAAAATTTGGGAAGATAAAAAGTTAAACATTTTCTTTCTCCCTGTTGGAGCAAAAGAAAACAGGTTAAGAGGAGGCCAATTCACATTTGAGTAACTGAGTTAAATACTGACATAGTAAAATAGTAATAAAGTTACTTCTGGCTCACTTACAAAGTACCTTTTTAAAAAAAAAAAACAACCCAAAAAACCAAACCTGAAGATGTTAAAATACAAAGTCAGCTATAGAATATATTAAGAAATATTATTATCATTTGTTAAAAAAGACAGGGTGGCAGATTTTGGACACCTTGTTTCCAAAGTTAAAAGTACTTTGATTCTGCAACTACAGAATACAGGTCCTACAATACTGCTGTGCTCCAGAATCCAATTTTTGGTGTTTTTTTACAATTTATTTTGCAAACAAAACATAAAACATACATACAAACCCTAAACCTAGTGGTACCTGGGGAGAAGCCCAGGGAGGTGGGAGGGGGTCGGAAGGTGGGGCAAGGGGCAGGGATCTCTCTCTTTGCCCTGTATCACTGCTTTCCCTGCCACTTCCAGCACTGCAGGGAAGGAATTTAAGATGACCCCCCACATAATAATTAGATATGGAAAATTATTAACAAATGTATACAATTTTCCACATACAGAATCCAACTACTGGGGAGTTATTTTAAATTCAAAAGTTGTCTTGGATTCAGGTAAATATGGTATATAAAGACATGTGAACTGCACTACTTAGCTCAGAATAGCAAATTTCCCAGTTGATCAATTTTGACCAGAAAACAACATTAACATAACACGATTTTCTGGCTAGGGAATTGGCTCCTCGGTAGGACCCAGAGGGTGGTGATCGATGGGAGCCAATTGTCTTGGTGCACTGTGATCAGTGGGGTCCCTCAAGGCTCTGTCCTAGGACCTATATTATTTAACATCATCTTCATCAATGATGTGGACAGTGGTGCCAGAAGCGGACTGGCCAAGTTTGCTGACGACATCAAACTCTTGGGTAAAGCATCCACACCTGAGGACAGGAGGGTGATCCAGGTGGATCTTGACAGGCTCAGGAAATGGGCGGACGAGAACCTAATGGTGTTCAATACCGAAAAATGCAAGGTTCTCCACTTTGGGAAGAAAAACCTGCAGCATGCTTATAGGCTCGGCAGGGCTACGCCGGTTAGCACTACAGATGCAAGGGACTTGGTTGACCACAAGATGTACGTGAGCCTTCAGTGTGATGCTGCAGTTAGTAAAGCGAGCAAAATGCTGGCTTGCGTCCATAGATGCTTCTCAGGTAAATCCCAAGACGTCATTCTCCCCTTGTACTCGGCCTTGGTGAGGCCACAGGTCGAGTACTGCATCCAGTTTTGGGCTCCGCAATTCAGAAAGGATGTGGAGAAGCTTGAGAGGGTGCAGAGGAGAGCTACGCGCATGATCAGAGGTCAGGAAAACAGATCTTAGGATGAGAGGCTGAGAGCAATGGGGCTCTTTAGCCTGGAAAAGCGTAGGCTCAGGGCTGATCTGGCGGCCACCTATAAGTTTATCAGGGGTGCTCATCAGGATCTGGGGGAACATCTATTCACCAGAGCCCCCTAAGGGATGACAAGATCGAATGGTCACAAACTCCACTGTGACTGGTTCAGGCTGGACATAAGAAAGAACTTCTTCACTGTC